TTTAAAGTAATTTTTTCAACTTAGCAATATATAGAAACAATAGATAATTTTTTAACTATATGTAATTTTAAAAATTATTAATTTTCATCCAATTGTTATATATAGAATGTACTCTCTCTGTTAAAAAATGTAAGAATGTAAGACATTTTTTAAGAAGTTGAATATTAAAAAATGTAAGACATTTTTAGTCTTTTGAGATATAATTATTACTTTTTTTAAAGTGCTCTTATTGATAATGACTTTATATTTATTATAGGGTATTTAATAGGGATAAATACAAAAAAAATAAAGTTAGTTTGAAAGCAGGTAACTATTTTATTAGAGGGTAAGATTCAATTAAAAAATATTTATATTTTTTAATTGAGGGAATATCTTAAATGAGGATAATCATATTATTTTCTTAATAAATAAAGGTTTTTTTTATCTTTCTAAAATATTTTTAAAATATTTTTGTCAAGCCAAATTCGGCCAAATCAGTTAGGTCGGGTCATGCAATCGGCAGCCTAGCCCTATCCATGTGAAGTCCTATCTCAAATCCAGCAGTTTCCTGTGCCCTCTTTCTTTAAAGGCATGAATACATATGATTAAAGAGATCTCATGATTAATATTAGTTATTGATATATATATATATATATATATGTACACACACACATATAGTACACACATATATATTAAATTTATTGAAAATCATACTGATTATATTTCGAATTTAGTATAAAAGCATAAGACCAACTCAAGTTTGGTGAATACATCATTTAATTTTATTTTAAAAAATAAATTCTAGAAGACTTGTATGATTATATCACGACGTGCCACGCATACCTCCGCCGCCAAGTTTAATAGTGCGCAAGTGCGTTTACCAAGAGAATTAATGGTGTGCCCCGCGTGGCCTTTATTGTGGACTATTAGCCAGCGTAGAAATTTTCAGATGGATTTGGTGCAATATATTATCTATAATTTATCAAATAAAAATATGATATTTAGCATCAAATTCAATCAAATAAATTTTCAAGTGTCATTATTTTTATAATAAAATCCTTATTTAATTTTTTTACATTTTCTCTTTACTATAATTAATGTTAAAATTAATTTATATTTATTGTCATTCAAATGTTATATTTTTATTAAATAAATTATGGATGATGTGATTTAATGGATCCATCTAAAATTTTTTCTAACAAGTCATATAGGATTTGGTTGCAATGAAAAGGAAAGACTTTAAAATTTAGGTTCAACTTTAAAAAAGTTGGAATATTTAAAAAATAACTTCCCCGAGTTGGAACAAATTTAAAACTCAAAAAAATGATGCTAGCACATTGGAAATGAATTTTCTGTGGCCAACATTGGAAATAAACTTTATTTTAGGATTTCAATATTAGTTGGAACAAGATTTAATATATTTTTCTTTATAAAGTTGACAGCTCAAATTTTATGAATTAAAGATTCTAATTACTAGTTACTTCTAATAAGGATCTATTTGCTCGAGTTTTTCTGGGGAAAAATCACTTTTAAAAAAATTAATTTTAAAAAACTCAATCAGAATATACAAACCAAGTTATACAAAAATATCAAACAATATAAAAATATTTGAAATAATTAGATGCAGGTATGCCGTAGATGATAGAGAATATTTATAAAAAAGACAAGAAAAGAATTTATATACTTAACTTTATATATTTAAAGTGGTTATGTTCAATTAAATCAAGAGATGCAAATTTTATATATTATTTATTTTATAAAATTTTTTTGCTATTAATATTATTAATACATTCTAACAACAAATATTAATAACACATTAAAATTTATTTATCTTTATTTAATTAAATAAACGTATATTAAGTATATAAAGTGAAGTACCTAATTCTTCTCCTCATGAAAATTATGAACATGAATGGAGATATTATTGAATTTAAAAATTACTAAATAATAAATATTTTTTATGAATAGAGATACATAAAAATTTAAAAATCATTAAATTAAAAATCATCTTTTAATAATAATCAAACATAGAATAATTTTTTTAAAATCATTATACAATAAATAAATTTTATAAAATATTTAAAACAATATAAAATCCCTTTTTTAGCTTAAAGAGATGGATATAAAAGTTGACAATACTAAATATTAGAATACTTTTTACAGACTAAACATTGGAATACTATTAGACATTGGATAATTCATAATTGTGTCAAAAAATTCAAAAAGGTGAAATTTCTCCCGAAATAAAAAAAATAAAGGTCATATAAAGTTGGGAGGAATCTGGAAGGCTCTGAAGTAAACCCCACATAAAGGAGACTTTTTGACTTTGGGAACTTTAAAAAAAGTCACGGCGCAGACATAGGAAAAGTCACACGTGACTCCATAATTATTTTAATAAATAAATAAATAATCATAATTACTTGCACCCGTCATCATTACTAATCCACGTTTGGGGAAGAATTTAAACACTGTTAAGATTCAAGAGATAGGGCGCTGCAAACACAAAAATTTGATTTCGGCTGTTGGATTTGGAAAGTTGACTTATTAGGATCACAAGGATTTGAACCTTGTGAGGTCTCTGAACCAAACAACATATAGAGGATTACCAATCAAATTATAAGACTATCATGTGTGATTTTCATGTGAATAAGAAACTTGACAAAGTTTTACATTACCTATCCAAAACCCAATACACCTCTCATCTTTTATTTGAATTTGAAATGGTATATAAAATATAGAGGAAATTATCAAAAAAAAAAAAAGGCTTCAAATAATATTGATGGTTTGCAATCACGTAACTCGAACACATTTAGTAGGATAAAGTTTTTGTTATTGATGATGCTGTAATGTTGTAGCATGCTAGTATTAGATATGATTTCCTATACCTTTTACGAACCTTGATAAATGGGTCTTGAGATGAATGACTTATGAATAAAAAAAATTTTATATAAATTTTATTAAATATCAATCAAATATTAATTAGAAATTTCATTCATGACATGTTATTGTATTGATTATGTCAAAAATGTTAAATTACTATTAATATCAACATGTTGCCATATTAATATTAGTATTAGTAAAAATTATCACAAGGCATATTATTTACGAGGTATGAATAATACATTTTATTTCCTAAACCATGCACCAATATGTTTAGTTATATATAGACAGATTTTTTGAATTTTATTGGCAAAAAGAAATATGTGAGGGCCCTTATTAAAGGAAAAAGTGAATATGTGAAAGGAGAATAACAGTGAGGGCCCTTAGAAGAGTAAAAAACAGTGAGAACCCTTGCCAACGAAAAGTTTATTTATATACACTACAATTCTCAATGACTTTCCTAATGATTGTAGAAACTTTTTGACATTTAACATAACCTAATTGATTCTTTTACATGATTTTTTTACTGTGACTTTATATTAAAAAAAAATTTATTTATATACAAATTAATCGATAAACTTTTAATTATATATAGATAAACTTTTAATTGTTCAAGACTCTTACTATTTTTTCCTCTTCTGAAAACCCTCACTGACATTTTCCCATATGTGAATCCCTAGTAATCCCTAGTTTTTTTTTTTTTTGGAGGAGCATTCATTAAGAGGGTTAATCTTTCCAGTTATCATTCAAACAAAACAAAAACTTCAATTAGATACTCCCTTAACCAGAAACACAGCTAATAAGGCAATAAATAAGAGAATACATGTAAATTTAAAAAAAAAAAAGAAGAAGATATATAACCAACTTGGTTCCCCTTTGACTATTCGAGAGAGTTTACTTATTTTGAAATCTTAGGTTTGAAACTTGAAATGTGTAATTACATTAATAAAAATGTCAAAAACATCCCAAAGGTACATGTGAGACTGCCATTGGCAAGAAAGGTCTCACATATTCAAGTTTTCCAGAATATCGAACAATAGAACAAAATAAATGCATACCTGGGCTAAGCCTAGACAAGAACCTGAGTTGGGCCTGACCCAAAAACCTACCAAGCAAGTTTTAGAGCCATGGCCCAACTAAGGACGGTGCCTGTTGGACCCCGACCAAGCCTGTACTAGGTTTAAACTGGTCTGCTGGGGAAAAAAACAAAGAAATGAAATGCAAAGAGGCTGAATGAAATAACCCTCTAAAACCATCAATCTTTTCTTTTGGGCCATTCACTATTAATTAATTAACTTGCCAACTTATGATAGACTAGGTCTACCTAATAAATCTCTTAACATCTGTTGCAAAAAGCCAGACAAAACCGGTGTGCTCTTTCAAGGAAAAGAAAGCGAAAAATTGTGCACAAAGCTCATGAGAGCAATTAGTTGGGTTGTACTTCCAGGCAAAGTAATGACTTTTCCATAATTATCAACAGCTTCACATGGTATGAAATCTTAACAAAAATAATGAATGAGAAGTAATCAAACCCTAATTTAAATTTGATAACTTCAAAAGAGTAGGCCATTCTTGCAAAAGCAAAGATATACACGCATACACATCATTATGACAGCACCAATAGACTCAGAACAATAATTACATCCATCCGTTGTCCTCCAAAGATATGATACCCCACATTGCAGGAAAAAGCAAAAGGATCAAATGGATGGTCACAGTTCATATTCCATCATTTCTGCCATACTTCATCAAGCCAAATAGATTTTTAAAATAGATTTTATAAAGAATGCATGCCTTGGAAAAGAATAACATAGAAGAAATCTAGTATGAAATAATTTTCTCTTTGTCTCTTCTTGAATATATGTTATGCTATGCAGTGAATTTATATGATTATATAGAATCCCGGTAGCCCCAACAAGGCACTAAAGCATAAGTATATAACCCATAACTGAGGCATATGCAGACTTCCCAAGAAAAAATCTAGGTAGAGCTTCTAATCCAAGGCATTTGCCAGCTGGTTTCTTAAGAAAAACGTAACATGCTCAACAACTTTTAATTGGCCTCTAAGCATATATGTTTCTAAGCTGTTAAAAAAAAATTTCTATACATTAATCATTTTCTGTAGGAATATGATAGCAAACTTAAAAAAGCTGCAACTGAATTTTCTCCAATACAAAAATGTTTTGACCACTCAGGGAACTACTAAGGATATTTACATTCTAAAACGAACAAGGAGCAAAAAGAAGTTCTGGTAAATTATATGTAAACTAAGATGGCTTTCATACACTTATTATACACTTTATAGTACAAGATTTAGGAGCTTTCAGAGGTCTTCCAAGTAGCACTTTGGCTGCGTCTTTTCTTCAAACTCACCTGGAAATAAGGGTTATGATAAGCAAAAGTTACATCATAACTCAATATGCTTATAGAACCTCTCAGCTCAGTTGAATCCAAGAGGCAACTACAAGAAGGACCCAACATAGAGTTTCACACAAGTCTGACATGATTGCCTTGGAAAAAATAGGACACAATGGCTAGCCTTATTCTATTAGGTAGAATTGGCTACATGAGTCATACGACGCCATTATACTCTATCAAGAACTAAATTTTTGGATACATTGTTTACCAAAAGGTCCTGCTCTATAACTTCATTGAATGTTGGTTTTCCTCCAACCCTTGTCACAAGACTCAACTATCTGCTCTACCCTCTTCACAGGGGAAAAAAACATAGGACAATGGCAGATTTTTTTTTTCTGGAACACCCAATCATGTCATGTTGAGCTGTAAAAGATTTCCACTTATTATTAAAATATTTTATTGGAAAATTTGATAGCAAATACCTAAAACTTATTTCCCAAAATTTTAATTGAGTTAGCATCAGCTAGTATCCTGTTTACGAGAAAGGAACATTGAATGTTCTAACGTTCATCCACCAAATATATATATATATATATATATATTTCCACACAAAATCTGTCGTTGATGAACAAGGTTTTTACGTTTACATTCTTTAAAGAATTAGAATATACATGCTCAATTGCAAACTTCAGCCCAGGTACCCTTGAAGACAATCAAGAAAATTATGAAAACAGTTCAGAGTTCAGACATTAGGGTTTAGAATGGACATGTAAATTGCAGTACCCATGATCAAACTAAAATTGACTAAATTCTTTTGGCAACTTACGAACTCTACAGATCAATACTTTGTCATTTTTATTTATATGATATACGATGCAAGAATATACCTATTAGAAACTTCAAAGGGGAAATCATCACACTTGGTCCAGTGAGTAACGAAATATGCCTATGACTTCAAGAGTTATTGCACAAGCATGCCTCTAAAGGCTAGCTTCTTCTTTATTAAAACAACGTGATGGTAAATAACAAGCTTTGCACCATACCTTAGCAGATGAGGGGGGCAAGGAAGACCCACGGACAGGGTTTCTCAGCTGTTTTATCTCTTGAAGATGGTTTGCTATCTCCTCCAGAAGCTTCAGCTGGATCCTTTTACTTTCTTCATTCTCTGAAAAGAAAGTCAATTTATCCTTTCCATGCTTTAGCATCCTCAGCCTTTCTCCAAGAATCTCAAGCTCAGTGCCAATCCTTAACTTCTCATTAGCATTGGCATCAGCACCATCACCGCTTTCTGCCTTGCTTACCCTTGAAAATTTACTCACTGCAATACTGTTCAGAACTTTGAGACTTCCTGAAGTGAGATCATCATCTCTGGGTTCATCTGAAACAGCATTGAATGAAAAGCCATTTGTCTTTTCAACTTCCTCTTTCTTAAGTTCTATGTTGTCATCTATGACATGTACATCAAGAACATCTGGCTCAGTATCAAGGAAAGAACTGGGCAGATTGCCATGATATTGATCCTTGAGTTGTCTGTTTTCTTTAGCTCTTCTCCATCATTTAATCTGATACAAGTTTGATCCACTCTATGATTTGATTGAAGATGTGCTATTTCAGCAATCTTGGCCATTGAAATGGAACTGTTAGTCTGCAGGTGATCTTCATGTGTTTCCGCTGAAAATGACGGCCTTTGTCCCAATTCATCTAGCTGCAAATTTGACTTTCCATTTGATTGCTCACTTACTCTTAAGTTCATCTGTCTATAACCCTCAAGTTCCTTTTCAAGAAAATGATTCTCTCTTCCCTTCTTATAAGAATTTCTTGCAGAATATTCATCTCTTCTTCCTCATAAGCAACTTTTTCCTCTATCATCCTCTGGTATTGCCTAGTTTCAATTTCTATGAAGGCCTTCTCTTCCTGCAGACGAGATATCATTGCCATTGCTTCATCAGCAGCAGTTGCAGCAGCAGACCTCTCTTTCTCTAGCTCTAAACAAAGAGCAGCATAGGCAGCTCTCTCTTCTTCAAGTGCTGCCTCCATCATCTTCATACGGCTCTCTTCACTTTCAACAATCTGCATCTTGTCTCTTCTATTACTCATGCAGATCTCAGTTGATGAGGAGTATTTGTCCTGTGATGGGCTATCAACCAGTGATCCACCAAATAGATGGTTTGCTATCTCCTCCAGAAGCTTCAGCTGGATCCTTTTACTTTCTTCATTCTCTGAAAAGAAAGTCAATTTATCCTTTCCATGCTTTAGCATCCTCAGCCTTTCTCCAAGAATCTCAAGCTCAGTGCCAATCCTTAACTTCTCATTAGCATTGGCATCAGCACCATCACCGCTTTCTGCCTGCTTACCCTTGAAAATTTACTCACTGCAATAGTGTTCAGAACTTCGAGACTTCCTGAAGTGAGATCATCATCTCTGGGTTCATCTGAAACAGCATTGAATGAAAAGCCATTTGTCTTTTCAACTTCCTCTTTCTTAAGTTCTATGTTGTCATCTATGACATGTACATCAAGAACATCTGGCTCAGTATCAAGGAAAGAACTGGGCAGATTGCCATGATATTGATCCTTGAGTTGTCTGTTTTTCTTTAGCTCTTCTCCATCATTTAATCTGATACAAGTTTGATCCACTCTATGATTTGATTGAAGATGTGCTATTTCAGCAATCTTGGCCATTGAAATGGAACTGTTAGTCTGCAGGTGATCTTCATGTGTTTCGCTGAAAATGACGGCCTTTGTCCAATTCATCTAGCTGCAAATTTGACTTTCCATTTGATTGCTCACTTACTCTTAAGTTCATCTGTCTATAACCCTCAAGTTCCTTTTCAAGAAAATGATTCTCTCTTCCCTTCTTATAAGAATTTCTTGCAGAATATTCATCTCTTCTTCCTCATAAGCAACTTTCCTCTATCATCCTCTGGTATTGCCTAGTTTCAATTTCTATGAAGGCCTTCTCTTCCTGCAGACGAGATATCATTGCCATTGCTTCATCAGCAGCAGTTGCAGCAGCAGACCTCTCTTTCTCTAGCTCTAAACAAAGAGCAGCATAGGCAGCTCTCTCTTCTTCAAGTGCTGCCTCCATCATCTTCATACGGCTCTCTTCACTTTCAACAATCTGCATCTTGTCTCTTCTATTACTCATGCAGATCTCAGTTGATGAGGAGTATTTGTCCTGTGATGGGCTATCAACCAGTGATCCACCAAATTCATAGCTGTGGCAGGCTCTTTCCTCCATATCATGGTCCATGAGAGCATTTTTTACATCTGAATGGGAGAATAACAGATACAGCAAGTTAAAAACCAATATCCAGCATGTATAATAAAATAAAATACAGTGATTAGACTTCAAATAAAATTCAACCATAGATAATTTCTACTTAAACTCAACTTTTCATCTTCTAGCCACTTGAAAGTAGTTTGAAATCAAAATAGCTACCATATATCAATACAATTACAAATACAAGAAGTTGAACTTGGATTTTAATTTCAATCAGGATCGAATGAATGAGAAAGCTATTAACATATGGTAGCTCAATGCTGTAGAAGAAAGCATAATCACGTTACGAATATATGCAACTTGAACAGAAATCATAGAAAAAGAAAATAATATAAGCACAGATCGTTTCTCTCACTTACCAGTGAACCAACTTCTTTCCCTGAAGTAGGATTCACTTCCGTTGTTTTACTTCCAGCTATATCCCCTTCACAAGGCAAGGAGGGATTTTCAGTAGGAAACACTGAATATAATTTCCCACATTCATAATTACCCTTCCTCCTCCGCCTGATTCCTGACCTTCTTCTCAGATTCACAATTCTCTTCCCCTTAGTATCATATCCATTTTCCCTATCAACTGAGGCTAGCAAATGTGGGCTTGACCATGAACTGCAAGATGCTTCATCTTCAAAATCACGAAACTCATTCGCAGATTCTTCTGTGCAGTCATTTCTCATTCAAAGTGCACGTATGATCCTTAACCCTCACCAGATCATAAGGAAACCTCTTCACAGCCATCACTTGAACTGAGCATATTTTTCTTATCGGCCAGTCATAAAGCACTTTATGCAGACAGAAATCGCTATTCTTATACCCCATAACCCCCTTACAAGGACATGGCAAATAAAGTCCGAAAGCATCAAAAATTCGAGGCAAAGAAAGCAATAGCCGATCCACATAGCAAGAAATAGGCTAGAACCAGGTCAATAAAGGCTCCAACAAGACCTCCCAACGTCCAAGAATGGATTTCCCGAAAAGCCATCCTTCTCTAAAAAGCTCAAAAACCCACAAAATTTCACCGAGAATCTCAAGAAGCAATAGACTATTTACAAGAGCCAGCACAAGAGTACATGCAGGAATAAGAGTAGCAGAACCCACGAAGCCAATTAAGAAGATTTCTTTGACCCGGATAGAAAAACCCCGATCAATAGAACCCACAAAGCACAGTTCAGATCATAACAGAAGAAAAAAAGGACCCAAGGTCATACAAGAAAGTCTACAGCAACTAAAAGCTTAGCTCATTGGAAGAAACTGAAGAAAACCAAACAAAAAAAGAACCTTTATAATTTGAAATCATAACCCCAACAAGAATCAACGAGAGGGGTAATAATGATTGTGCCAGAACTTGGAAGATTTCCGTAAGAACTTAAACTCTGCACAATTGTTTATTGCAACATCCATTGTTCCAACCAACTTTTTTGCGTCGGACAAAGACTGGGGGACTTTCCTGGGCGGGTTTTTAACCAAGTGAGGAAAGTGGAAGGCGCGGTGAGAAACGGCGTCGTAGGCATGTTAGAGAAATGCGATCAATGAATCCACGCGGCTCATTGACAAGACTATAGAAGTCTGAGTAAGAAGTTGAGTTGGCTTGGCCTTTAAGGATTAAGGAATAAATGTACATAAGCCGAAATGATATGCCAAAACTTCGCCGCAAAAGCCAATTTCTTCATGTTCGGTCAGATGGCGGTTGCTTACAGATTGGCTTCATGTCTTATGAATTGTTTCTAGTTTTTTCTCTTATTTCAAAGGTTCAATCATATCAGCATAGAATAAAAGTTCGTCTATAATAAAAATTTAAATGATTTCCTTCATTTAAAAATATAAAATATTTTTTTAAAAAATTAAATATTTAAAAATATAAAGTATTTTTAATCTTTTAAATTTAATTATTTTTTTTTAAAAAATATCTTTATTGATAATGATTTTATATTTATTGTAAAATGTTTAATAAGGGTAAATATGAAAAGATTGTGTTAATTTGAAAGTAGGTAACTACTTTATTGAAAATGAAATTCAGTTAAAAATACTTTACGTTTTAAAACGGAAGGAGTATAATTTATAAAATTGTGAACTTACACCTCACTAGCAATATAAAAATCTTGTTGATAAACAATTTATGATGTTCTAAGTCCGAATGCAACTTTGGTAAGTCTACAAGCTCATATCTAAATAATTGATTAACATGATTGTTTTAATTATAATTAATTATATTATAATTCAATCTATTTGGATACTGAAATTAATTTAGCTATATAATTATTATAAAGAACATTGCTTTTTAAAATTAAATTATTGATAAGTTGTATTTAATATCATTAAATTTGTTAAACTTTATTTAAGAATACAATATGTTATTTAATAGTAAAATTAAATCTATAAGTAACCTCACAAAACTTATTTTAAACATGATTCTGACTCAATAATAAATTATTAACTTTTTTTATTGTTTGGGAATTTGTTTCTAAAAATCGATTATTTAGGCCTTATAATCATTTATAATGTCTTTCCAAATAGGAAAATTCTTTTTTCCAAATAGGCAGTACTCGTCTAGCTTTTTGTCACCAAAAACAAGTCCATACTTTAATAGTTCAATCATATCAATTTTTTTTTTCCATATCTACGATTCTAACAAATAATAAAAAAGACCAAACATTGCTTGCTAGCCTATACAGCTAGAGCTAATAATTTGAACAAATTAAGTATATTAAAGCTGAGCCCTAATAAGCTTAAACTTATAGAAAAATTTAAATAGCTAAGTCCAACCCAAACCTCATTGAGCTTCGAGCTGTCTTGAGTACTTGAATTATCACTTTTTTTCATTTTAAAAATAATTTAATTAATTTTTAAAATTAAAATTCATTATTTTATTTTATAAAAATATAAAAATATATTTTTTTTGGAATACCTAACACAATTTTGAGAGATTTTTTTAAGGTGAAATGGAATGAAGTGGAGTGGGATGGCTAAAAGACATAAGTCATTGTTTGTGATTTTTTTTTTTAAAGAATGGTGAGATGGCAAAGAAAGGCCTCTAAAGCCCTCTGTTGCCATCCACAACTCAATATTTTTTATCCCCTAAATCGGAGGCTCAAAGATAGAGTGGCACAATATAATTATTTTTCTTGCAAAATTACCCCCATCCTTCTATCATAATAAAAAAAGTCTCATATATTATTTTCACTCTTCAACTATCTCTCTCACCTCTTATTAGGATTGCACATGGGCAAAGTCGGGCCAGGCATCACCTCAAGCCCGGTGCCTAAACTGATGTGCATGTGGGCACCGGGCTAACGTGATGAAATGGTGATGACTCATATTTATAATAACTCTCAAATAATGATAATGTAAAATCATTTTTTTCCTATCATAAAACTCTCAAAACAATAAAATTTTATTTTATTCCACCTGCTTCATTACATTACATTCCATTAATGATTGTTCATTTTCATTCAATTAGAAACTCTCAAACGCACTCTTAGCAATGTAGAAGACTCAAACTTATTTTTTAAAAATATGTGGGTATTAAATTTTAAAAATTAACATTAAAGTATATTTTAAATTTCTGTTTGGATATTTGAATGATGCATGACTTGTCAGGGTAGTTTAATGTATGGTGTTAATGGGACTTTCTGTTCGGTTAATTATTACCAACCACGTGGTAAGCTCTCATTGGACCTAATGAGTGGTGTGTCGCTTGTTCCAACTCACCTTTGGCCGGGTGATTTGGCGTCTGAGCATGTGAAAGGAAAGGGCTATAAGGTGTAGTCATGCAATTAAATACTTGTTCGGTTTTGTTTTGAAATATGGTTCGATTAAATGTTTTTGTGTGCCCACTTAGCAATCACATGATTAGTTACATCCACATGCATCATTACATATTAACTTTTGATTACTGAGACTTTTAAGTCTCATTCCCCCGTGGTTAATATTTTTACAGGAGAGAATCCGCCGAGAAAGCACCAGAGGCGTAACTTTGGTGTATGAGACACCATCTTTTACTTTGCCTCTCATTTTGTATTATGCAATGTATCTTGTGCCAATCTAGGACATTTCTTATTTTGACAACATGTAAACTCTAATCCTTTTTATTAAATACAATTATATGACCAAGAGGATTATGTTTGTCCCTCTTGATTCATGACCTGATTTAAATATCATGCCATGAGGATCTTGTCTGTCCCTCATGGTTCTAATTGCTTTTTTGAGATATTTAAGACTTGTGGTATATTGTCTTGGACGTATCATAGTAGAAATTTTTCTACCATGATAAGAGTATGATAAGGGTTCAATAAAAAAATAATTTTGTTGAATTAATAATTTGTGAAAAATCAATTTGTAATTTTGAGGGTGTTACACAAAGTCGGGCTAGGCATCACCTCAAGCCGGTGCCTAAACTGATGTGCACGCGGGCACTGGGCTAGCGTGATGAAATGGTGATGACTCATATTTATAATAACTCCCAAATAATGATAATGTAAATCATTTTTTTCTATCATAAAACTCTCAAACAATGAAAAATTTTATTTTATTCCACCTGCTTCATTACATTCCATTAATGATTGTTCATTTTCATTCAATTAGAAACTCTCAAACGCACTCTTAGCAATGTAAAAGACTCAAACTTATTTTTAAAAATGTGGGTATTAAATTTTAAAAATATATTAAAGTATATTTTAAATATTATTTTAAAATATTTTATAGATTAACATAACAAGAATATGATAATATAAGTATTTTTAATTCTTTTTTAAAAATATCTATAATAACATATTCAAACATATGGCATTATAAAATTACCTAAAATTTAAAAAATTAATTAATATTTTGTATATATTTTTTCAAATGTAGATTTTTTTATTTATGGTTTCGGGTCAAGTCCAAATCTGATTGGGGCTTGGCCTTAATTTTTCAGGCTCCAAAAATTTAAAACCACTATTTAATTAAACTTAGTTTTTATTTTTTATTTTTGGCTTATTTAGACTTGACTCTAATCACTGGAGTACATTATAATGGAAAAAGAATATGCTGTGCTTATTATTAACAACTATTAACATGTTCATATAAAGTAAGGGATTCAGTTAAAATAAACTAATTTCTTAGAATTGAAAAAATTATTTTCAATTAAATTTATTAATTAAAAAATGTTATTATAATTAGTTAGAGAACGTTAAAAAAAGTATATTATTGTCTAAGATAAAATGTTTTATATTAGGAACTAGAAAGGTTTTTATAATAAAGGATTGAAAGAGATTGTTTTTTTAATTGTAATATGATTTGAAAATAAATTATATAATGGCATGCGTCTCATACTATTTATTTTTGTCTCTCAGATGCAAATTTACCCCTTTCATGTGACTCTTCTTGTCATTAATCACCAGTGAATTAATTTTATATTTTAAAAATTTGCATAATATTATATTCGATCTTATTGCACATAGCCTAATAATACTATTAAAATATATAAGAATTTTTCTTGTAAGACATTTAAAATATGTGAATTACGCGTTACATATTTCACATGAAAGGATATACGGTAAGTAGTAAGCGTTTTTAGCTTGTTAGCCAGCTAAACATTAGCAGGAGCATTATCATTCATATATATGGACTTGGCTTTTTTTATTTTTTTTTTTTCTCTCCACTTCTCATCTCAACCGTCAGATTCATTTTTGAACGGTTGAGATTTAATATTTCAAAATTATTATTATATTTATTTTTTAAAAATTTTATATTTTAATAAAATTTTATGAAACATCCAATCTCAACCGTTCAAAATAAATTTGACAGTTGAGATGAAAAGTGGAGAGAAGTGGAGGAGAAAAAAAATAGAGAAAAGCTGGGTCTCATATATATGATATGAGTTTCGAAAATGATGTGGCAATAGAATTATTTATTTATCATAAAAAATGTCAATAATTGCTACATAACAACACAACTGTTAAGGACCACATTTTATGAGAGAGGAGTTTTCCTCATTTTTTTTTTCTTTACTTCCTTCGTTCTCACTATTTAAATTATTGTATTAAATAATTTTTTTAAAAGATAAAATTAATGAATGATGGAGATGAAGGAAGTGAAGGAAAAAAATATGAAGAGACCCTCACTCACATTTTATCCCTCAAGCTCTCCATAATTATTAGTTTGTACTATCCGCGATGTCTACTATCTGTCACTGTCAAACAATATGCCTTCGTATTTGGTCAAAAAAAAAAATTATGCCTTCGTATTAATATCTTAGGCACGTGCGCATATATAATATATTTATATTATAAAATTAAATAATATTTTTATCTCTTAACTATTTATTAAGGAATTCTTGTATCCTAAATTTGCATATAATATAATTTTTTTAACATTTAAAAATGGTACATAGAATACCTGTTATTAAAAAAAGATATCTTTAATTGTTAATTAACTTAAAAATTATAAAAAATGTTTTAAAAATTACAAAAAATAACTCAAAAAATTACACATGAGCATCCTTTAAGAAAATTAAATCAATTAAGTCATTAAATTATATATAAATAAAAAAACAAATGTTATTGGGTAATTAATAGATAAACCAATTTAACTAGTTATTGGGTAATACAGCTGGTGTTAAAAAGATGTTCATCCGTAAATAACAAATATATTAGTTAAATTGTAATTTTTAGAATGTAAATTTTAAAAGTTAACTTATAAATTGTGTGTGAAAATTAAAACAAATATAATATTTTTTTAGTTACTTACATATGTTAAATCGATTGATTTGTTAATTACCTAATAACATTTGTATTCTTGTATTTATATATAATTTAGGGACTAATCGACATTAATTTTTTTATAAGATACTTATTTGTAATTTTATTGGTCATTTTATATAATTTTTAAGTTCCTTTTTTGTAAATTTTTGGGTTAATTAACGATTAAAATTAACATTTTTAACGGCAAGGTGTTCAGTATACCATTTTTAGATATTGAAAAGAAAAAATTGTACCACATGTAAATTTAAAGTTTAGTTTGGTTGCAAGAAAGGATGTGAATGAAATAGATAAAAAAATCAAAACAAAAATAAATTAAATCACCCTTTCTCCTCATGATAAATATGATAAAACTTAATATTATATTATCATAAATAAAAATCATCACACACTCTAAAACCCTCATGGATCATGACTGCCAATCCAATTAATTAAATTAGCCTTTTCCCTTATAAATATGATTCATCTACCCCCTTCAAATTTAATTATTTTATTTTTACTTTTATTTTTTTAGTTCATTTTATTCCATTCCTTTCTAACAATCTAACAACCAAATAGGATTAAAGATTTTAGAAGTTTTTTAGTAAATAGTTGGAGAGTAAAAATATCATTTAATCCTATATTATATTGCCTCTTGCCACCACAGCCAGTATGGCCTCTTGTGGTCATTTAGTTTTGGCAACTTTTTTAAATTATTCAATTATTGGAAATTGGAAAACAATGATAGATTAAAAATTAAAAGGCAACACTTATATATTTAGCTTTATATATTTAATATATTTATATTTAATTGAATTATAACAAATGAATCTTAATGTATTAATAAAAATAATAATACTAATTTATTATAAAATAAATAATCTATAAAAGATACATGCCTTTAATTAATTAAAAACAAGCATATTAAGTCTGTAAGATTAAGTATATAATTTTTTTTTGAAATTAAATTCCGGCATCTAATCCAAATATTCCTCCTGTATGATTCACAAAAATGATTAATTAACGGGGTTTCATATTTGGATTCGCATTTTCATTATATTTTGTTTAATCCTTATATTATTGTCTATTTTAACCTATAATTTATCATTATGCCACGTAATCTGATTTAAGCTTTTAAAAGGACATCGTTTTATTTAATAATATAAATGATTTGATATGGTAAGAATCGACATATCAAAACGGATAATTAATATAATATATTTTGTATTTAAAAATCTACATACTATATTTTTTGGGATTAAAGATCAATTTTATCTTTAAACTAATCATAAAGATATATAAATAATTCTAAACCCAACTTAAAATTAATTTCATCCCTTAATTTTAAATATTTGTTAACTCTTCTGATTTTGTCATTTTATGGATCTTGCATTTAATTTTTTTAAGTTTTTGGTGGGCCCCACCATTTTATATTTTTATAATTTAAAAATTTCCCACCCTCCATCCTTCTCTCTCCTCTCTCTCTCTCTCTCTTCGTCTCCTTCTCTCCCATCCCTCATCCCCACTTTCCTCTCTCCTCCATTCATTCCCCCTCTCCTCTCTCTCTCCTTCATACGCACTTTCACCATCATCTCCCCCTCCCCTCTCTATATATTGTAACAATATATGGGTGTGTATATATATATATATATATACATATATCAGATCAAAGAGTCTGAAGAAAGTGAATGTACTTATTATGCCCGAATCGTGCCTTTTCTTGAAGAGAGAGAGTCAATTAATGTAGTAAAATGAAAATCGTTACCAAATTAAAAAAAAATCTTAAAAAACTATATAATAAAATAAGATGTTTCACAGAGAGTTTGGAAGTAAATTATATATGAAGAAAGTGTTAGTCACCTCACAATACCTGTTCATAAGAATTGTTACCCTAAGTTGATTGTGTAAAATTAATTGACCTTTTAATAATTTCTTAATTACCCTTTATTCCACATGAAAAATGCATATTAAAAAATAAATGAAAAAAATTATTTATTTACATAAGAGGGCTTGACCTAAAATCAAAGTCTAAGGTTTACGTATCTTATAATGGAGATTAAAGTCCATGTAGTTCAAAATGTTATTAGTTAGGTTTTCTTTTAATTTTTTATCAGCTTACTTTATGAAGAGAATGTTATCTTGTATTATATAATTATATTTATTTTTAAATAAAAAATTGTCATAAGGAAGTATCTTTGGGTAAAAGAAAAATAATCAGTATTGAAACTTGCAGTGATTTAGTCTTACTCACAATCCGTTAGTTAATACTCTAAGTACACACAGTGATTTAATATCACTCATTGCAAACCCTATAAGAAATTTCTAAGTAAAAATTTCTATAAAATAGTTTAATTATTAAATTTTAAAACAAAATTTGACACTTGTGATGATTTAGTGTCATTCATAGTATCTTCTTTTGATATTTTTAAGGATTCAAGATGATTTAGTATCACTCATGGCATAACCTAAAATATGCTAAGAGTTTTATTATTTTCATTATTTTTTAATAATGCACAAGAGAAGGGAAAATTTACAAATATTGAAACCTGTAATAATTTAGTATCACTCACAGTCCACTAGTTGACGTTCTAAATGCATATAGTGATTTAATATCACTGTTGACAAACTCTAAAGGAATTTTCAAAATAAGTTCTCTATAAAATAATTTAATTATAAACTTTTTTAGTGTAAAAATTAAAACCTACGATGACTTAATATCACTCACAATATCTTATTTGATATTTCTATTTATCCATAATAATTTAGTATAACTTATGGATTTTAAAAAAACATGTTGATAAATTTTAATATTTTTAAAAATTTTTGACACTTGATATTCGTGATGATTTAGTATACTTACTTCATCAATATATCAAATACTCACAGTAATTTAATATCACTTGTGGTTATCCCATTTTTTAAGGGGAAAAAAGAAAAAAAAAGAAGATTATAAGAATATTTTATTAAGAAGACTATATAATAAGTTGTAATAACATTATTTTCACAACTCTTAACAAACAAAAAAAAGTGAAAAAAGAAAAGAAAAGGGAAGAATCAACGTCAAGTTAATTTACAATATCTTCTCATATATAAATTGATGATTATAAGAGTTTAGGTGTCATGTCATTTTAAGACAAACTCACAACAAAAGATCCACGGTGCTTTAAATTAATAAACAAACTAAAGAAAAGGAAAAACAAACAAACAATGAAGAATCGTTGTGAAACAAAACCAAAAACGTGTGTAGGGAACTTAGGCTCCAGAATACCAGATGTTAAAACTAAGTGAAAAGCAAATACGTGAAGTTCAAAAATAAGAAGCCCGCAAATCATTAGTTGTTATGTGCATAGAAGAAATGTTTCAATAGGGCTTAGATATTGACTCAAGAAGGTTTGGTTTTTCCCCCATTCACCATGCAAAGCCAAAGGAATAACAGGAAAAAAAAAAAAAACACTCACTTCCAACACTTTGCCAATGCTTTTTTGCCATCTCCTCCCAGAATTTCCTCTCGCTCAATTTCTTCTCCTCAATTTTCATCCCCTTCTTTTTTTTTTGCTATATTTTTTATAAGTATTAATTAGGGTTTTCTCACTTAATGACAGAATCAAGTAAAATAAGACAATTTTATTTTGACTTTTCTTCATCCTTTCAGATTTAAAATTTTTCCCTTAACAAATTTCAATCAAGACATAATTACTTTAAATTATATTTTAAATATTTTAATTTTTCCTTTATGGTAATATAATCAAGGAGATTTGGAGTCAATAAAAAAGGAAATTAATATCATCATCATCACAAAGCCCATTTATTATTCCTTTATTTTTTATTTTATTTATTATATTTTTATAATTTTTAATTTACATTGAAAACTTGCATAAAATACGATATTCACAGTACTTATGGAGGAGAGAGAGGGAAGAAGGTACGGATCTTCTTCTTCTTCAACATTAAACTCTGTTTTCAAGACTCTTATAGTCATTTTCCTTGTTCTTATTTATCGGTAGGACAAGACCGTCCTTGTAGAATTTTTGAAATGACAATCTATTCCCTTCGCACAACTGACGCCCTGGGGTTGACACTCGGCTGCACCGTTCACCGTCGCCATCGTCAAGCCATTGGTCTACGTCCGCCCGGGCTCATAACATCGTCAAGTTGGTTTTTCTTAATCCTATTACTTCTCTTTTTCCGTTTTGACTCTCCCGTAATGGAGCCGGCTCATGAAATCATCTATCATCGACGAATGGATCTTTTCATGAAATGGGTTCATGCCACGGTTGGTCATGGAGAAGTTCGATTTCCCTGATGACAAATATGGGCTTTCCTTAAACCGGGTTTTGTGGGATCTGGACCAATTTGAGTACGTTGCATTGGAATATGAAACCACGAATTCACAATTCCCTCTCTGATTTTATTTTAAAACATTGATTGCGAGGGTATTTTTGTATTTACTGATTGTATATCAACAATTTAGTCAAACGATGTTAGGTAATTTCTGTCGCTCCCTACTTGAACTTCTATTTCATTCCAGTGTCATGCCAATTTGAGTGATTATGTTTGCCTGTTTCACTGTTCTATGGATGTGAGGAGCGAATTTAGAATTAGTAGTGCTTAGGCTAAGCAGTTCTTCCTTTTCTATTGACCTTCACTCCTATCTCTCAGAATTTCCCTATCTAAAGCAATTTTCTTACTGTCTGGTGTTTCAAGCAGTCTGCCCTATATACAGTTTTCCTTTGCTTTCAGTTCTCTGTGATGGGGCTGCGAATCCAATGGCCCCTTATCTGTCTGTCTCCTACATTTCAAGTTTTCCTTTTGCAACTTATATGACTTTAATATTGATGTTTAAAACGCCACATATCAGTTGCATTGAAGGTTTGGTAAAATTTTAATTGAACTAGGTGACATGAGGTTTAGGTGGCAAAGATGGAGTGAGGTGTAGGTAGTGACAAAGGGTTCAAATTTTGATATAATATTAATAATATAAAAAATAGACTTGAACCAGCCATGAAGGTGCGCGCCCAATGATTTCAAGCCAAACTATAGGAGGGTTAATTGTAATTTACCCAGAATTTTCTTATGAACCAAAAACACAAAAATTTAATACGCTATTGTTGCGTTAAGAAAAATTATAAGAACTAATTTTCTTGTATCCCCCCACTAAAAAAAAAAATTTCATTGCAGCATTGTTCTCATTGCGTGCTTTTCTAACTTTACTATTATAATCAAGAACAGTCCTTCTTGATTAATAGTAGCCTAGCAGGCTTGGTATTAATTGGATGGAGGAAAAGAGGCTTCAGTGCCGTTGGGGAGGAGTAGTGGGAATTTGAACCCCTAGCCCTATGTACCAAGGCCACCTTGGACATAGGCACCTATTATTTCTAAGGAAGTTCCGCTTGAACCAAGACGCTTGGGAAGACTAAGTTACTCTGGTTTCTTAAAAAAGTTAAAATTAATGATCATTTCTTTTATTTGTCGGGAGGACGTGAAATTAAAATGTAAAAGTCCTTTGGTTAAGATCTTTTCAGTAACTTGTTTCTTTCATTTTTGGTGTTCATTTTGCCCAGGTTTGATTCTATATGGCTGCCAAATGAAACATTGTAAATGTGTTCTTTTAATGCTTTCATTTGAATCAACATTCACTGAAGCTTTGATTGATTATACCATTTCTGAAGGGGACTTGTTTCCCCCAGGAAATTCCAGGAGAAAAAAAAAAAAGAGAATCAAGAAAAACTAGCAGTTGATGATTTATCACCATGAACAAGTTGTTAGAATTTGGAAGGAAAGCCTTATTTTATGTGCGAGTCCTTTCTGGATATGAACAGTGGAGAATAAGATCTTGTAGGCTGCAGCTTGAAAAACGTCTCCTGCAGGTCTGGCACCCTCTCTCATCTTAAAAACTATATTTTCAGTTAATAGCTTTTCTCTTTCAGAATCCACATGGGAAGATTAGGCGTGTAAGTTGTGAGCTGGGACTTGGGTTTTCAATTAGAGCTGTTGCTCTAAGCAAGGCCCAAGAAATAAGCACCACATTCTACAATATAAAAGCCAAGGGACATCCCTCAGTATCTATAGAGAAAAAGGAAGAAAGTATTCTGCTGTTCTCAGAAAACAGCTGGAGATTAAAATCCGGGTATTTTTCAATTTAAAATGGAGGATTGATGTATTTACTGAGTGAAAATTAGTGTAACAGAGTTTATGTAGAATAGTGGGGGTGGTTAATTCTATCAAGTGTTATAGATATACCAATCTGGGGTATTAAAAATATAAAGCATGCTCTTGTTGATGTTGAAGAAACATTGGCCATGGGCTCAATAATGATTATTTCATTCGTAAATCATAATCATAATCATAATAATATAATTTGTCTTCTTTATTGTTATCAAGCTCCTTATCACGAGGGTGCAAATTAAGATTTACCTATTTTAGTTCCCATTGTGAAGGAAAATATGGATTTTTCACTTAAATGCACTTACCTATTGCTTGGCCTTTTGGTCTTTTTAATTTTCAATATCTTCCTTTACTTCCTTTCTGATGCGCATGAAATTTTCACTGCAAAAGGCACAAGAAAGGAAAGAAGCAGTTAGAAAAATACCTGAGCAGATCATTTTATTCGAGGTTCGTCGTATGGTGGAAGAGATGCAATCTTTAGACAAGAAGCTTGAAGAAACGGTAAGTTGCATCTTCATTCTTCACTAAGAGATTTAAAATCTGGGAACTTCATATTCAAACTAATATCTAAGGTCTTCCATTTTATCTTATGTTAGATTATACCGAATTTTCTTGAACTTTAAAGTTTGAAACATATGTAAATAATCCCATTAACCCACCCTGAAAACTAGATAAGAAATCTCCTTAAACTTTTTAAAGTTTGTATAGATAACCTCCTTACTGTCAATTATTCTGTTATTTCACAAATGGAGTATAATATTTTATAGTGCCTTCATCTTCATCATCATCATTTTTGTGCAGACAACCCCTTTAAACTTTTAAGCCACGTGTAGATGAATTCTTGTTATATTATATTCTTTTAATGAAATGACAAATAAATTAATGACAGGGGAGTTATTTGCACAAGTTTAAAAGTTCAGGGATGTCATCACATGATTTTAAGAGTCACGGAAGTTATGTACAATTTAACTTCTATGCAATGTTTGGCATGTAAAAAAGTGGTTTTTTTCAGAAAGAAAATGGAAAATGTACTCATCCCATTTTTTTTTCTAAAAGCATTTGTTATTTTCTTTCTAGAAAATACTTTTTCGCCCACAGCCCCACACATTGCCTTATTCTATTTTGCAAATGTTCCAAGGTGTGACAAAACTCTGAATTTTTATGCAGGAGGCAACCATTCAAGAATACTTCAAACCAATTGACAAGGAAGCAGAGATCATAATGAAAATGCAGCTAGAAGAGGAAGAGAAAACCATGACGGAGATGATGAAGACAATGCAACAACAAACTTTGCTTGAGGAAGCCAAAGCAGGAAACATCTCAAGCGTGCGACAAGCAGAGGAGTCTCTTCAGGCCAACCAGAAGAACCCAATAGCATCCACAGCCACTTCCACCACAAAGGAAGATGAGATGAGATGACTTTGAGACCATTGATGATGGTGGCTTAGACTGTGTAACGCATTGCTGGGTAAAATTTTGTTGAGGTTTAATTTGATGATATAACCATATTTTATGGATTTGAATTACCGATGCAGCTTTAGGGAACTTTCATTGGTCATAGTTATTTTGTATATTTCATGTAATAATAGTGAAAAAAAAAAGAAATCTGCCAGTGATATTGTCACAGAATTCAAAATACAATCTTTCTATGATATAGAGAAACAAAGATGAGAGTCCATATGCATAATAAGCATAACGGTGGGTGAGGTGCATCCTCGGCCTTGGCAATTGGCATATTGTCAAGGCCATGGCTCTCCGTCAAAATAATAATAATAATAATAATAATAATAAATAATCATAATAAACAGACACCCATACTCACACAATTAAAGAATCTAAACTTTAAAAGGTGCCTTTTTTAATTCTATTTTTGAGTCATTAACATGTTTAACTAGAATTAAAAAAAATTTAAACTTATTGATTCTGCATAAAATTAAGTTTATTTTATTTTTTTAATTTTTATGCAATATGTATGCTTTAATAACACATTATTTTACTAATATTTAATGGAAGGCCAAGAAAAAAATTTATAATAAAAATTTAATGATATGACATCAAAATAAGATAAAAAAAGAATCTTTTTTTTTTCTTTTCACACACATGTATGGAGTCATACTTTTGGCTGATGGAAATAAACAAAAAAAAAAAACCTAGAAGAAGCCATAATTTAAATTATTGTTCCTAGATAATTCGATTGTTCTTCTAGTTTGTTTTTTTCATCATCATCATCACCCAACGATTTGATATTTAAGATAGGCTGTGCGAATCAAGACAGGTAGCATCACCAAGGCTGCAAAGCTCTTTTAATAAGGTTTTAATGCAAATACATCATCTAAACTAAAATACGAGATCAGAAGTTGCTTCCTTCTAGTTGAGCTGTGTTATTTTAATTAATTATTAAAAAATAAGTTAAAGTATACCTTTGTTCTTTAACTTTATATTATATTATATTATATTATATTTTAATTCTTTAATTTTATTAAATATTCTTTTAGTTTTTTAATTCTAATACCATTAGTTTCATTAACAAAAAAAAAATTTATTAAACTTTTAAATATTAACAAAATATTCTTAAATGTTGATATATTAAGTTTAATTTTTAAGATAATAATAATTGACACAAAAAAAATCATTTAAAATTAATGATATTAAGATTAGATGATAAAAAAGATATTTTATAAAATTAATCAACCTTATAACTTAAAAATAATATAAACATTATTTTCATATAAATATTAAATGGGTTAAATGACAAATTTATCTTTAAATTATAAGGTTTCTTTTGTAGTATAATATTCTCTACAACTTTTAAAAATGTTGCAATATTTATTTTACTATTAATATATGCTAACAAAAAAAATGATAGAAAAAGATCCATAAATGTTTTTATTGGTTATTTTTTTTATAATTTTTGAGATCATTTACAGCAATTTTTTAATAATTTTTAATTTTTTTATAATAATTTAAATTTAATTTTTATTATTAGTAGATGTGACATTTCATTTTAACCATTGGTTTCTATAATAATTTAAAATTAATTTTTATTATTGGTGTATTGATAAGGATTTCACAAATAATAGTTACTTGTTTAAAACAACAAGTAATAGGTTGCATCAACTCAATCTAATGGGGCAGAGCTTTTCAAACTTTATGATGATAGCTTTGTTAAGCAAAATGGTAGCAGTGGATGTGAAAGAACCCTATGAGACAAAAATGAAAATTGAATTTTTGATTTTAGTTGCAAATTATCTTTAGTTCCTTCGATAGTTGTGAAAATTATTGGTATCACATAGAGATTATATTTATGTTGGGTGAAAAGCTTACATAAGATACAAGTGTTTTCAGATGGCTTAGATGCCACTAATTTTGTTCTAAATGGTTGTGATTACAATTATCCTTTTAGGGACTTGATTGATGAAGCTAAAGCTTTTCTCTTTAAAAAAGGTTATATTATTTTCAACCATATATATAGGGAGCATAATAGAGATGCTGATTTTCTTTCTAAGTTATCTTATAATATAGTTAATAGTTTTTGATCATCATCCATTTCATAACTTAGTGTTGGAAGATGATGAAAAAGTGTAGGTTTTTGGTCTTGTCTTTGTTGATTTTGTGCTTGCCCTCCTGGTTTTTTGATGGTATTCAGTTTCCATTCAAAAAACATTTCACCAAAGCTGAGCATACTCCCATACGCCCTATGGTTGAAAGATGAAATTTTCCTTCTAATCCGATATTAAAAAGTAAAAACCAAACCAAAGCAACTTCTTTCTTGATCCCAATTACATTAACTTTGAATTTAATATTAAAATTCATTCGCCAACTAGGATTTGCACACAAAGATCATAATGCCTTATTCTTGTCGTTCCTATATCTCAGATTCTTCCACACAAAAATCCAATTCTGTGGATCTTTTTTCTCAACATTCTAATCATAAAATTGGGGAATAAAATTCCAATCACTAACAAACACTTCTAATCACAGTCGTCTCTGGAAATCTCTTAGAACTGTACCGAGAGAATCTCTAGCACTTGATAAGAGAATATACCTTCCATTTTTTGATTCGCAATCCACGTCCCTCCACATGGACCAGAAACTTCCTCACGTCTGTGCCAAATGACCACGTTCAAACCCGTCAATATCGTCATCAACACCAGACTCGTTGCTGGTAGTGACCGGAGTATCCCGGCTCCAAGAATTTCTCCAATGGCGGGTTTACCACATGGCTCTATGTTCAGTCTGTACACAACACGTCCTAAAATATGTTACATGAAGCAATTGAGCTGTTCCTCTGCATGTTGCAGATTGTTTGCTAACGAGAATAAAGCTTTGCTTGTTTCTCGCCTTTCCAGGTTCTTACTGATTCTATAATGTATATCATCTATTTAGTTGCTTTTTCTTTATTTGAACACTTTTTTCACCTATTCAGAAGTTATTCAAGTGGCACTTAATATTAGTTTTGCCAAAATTACTTTTGTCTGTTCATGTCGAGTGCATTGAGTGTTCTACGTATTGTTGGTACTGAAGTTTACATCTTTCCCTTTCTTGTTCTATTTCCATCACTTTTAAGGGAATGCCAGGCACATAATACCCGAGAGTAACTTATCAAAAACAAACGAATTCATAATTGCCAAGACTTACTTCCAGAAAAGTTGTTCTATTCTTCGTCTTCTGTGGGCTATTGATCAATAAGGGTGATTAAATGGCATGCTTGGTTGCAACTATTTTTAACTTCAATGACTTAACATATAAGTTTAGATGAATATGTCATACAATTTCTCTTATTATATGGAAGTTTGGGAATTTAACGTTGTGGGAACAAGATTATTGGATCCCCGGAGAGTCAAATTGAGATATACTTCTCAAGATTCGTATCTAAATACTGCGGTTGAAATAGGCTGAAAGTAATTATTATCATTATAATAATATAGAGGTTGGGATATTGCATCTGTGCTTCAATGCCGATTGTGATAATTGAATAATGAACTCTTACGTGGAAATCTTGACATCTTATTTTGTCTGGGATAATGGGTAGATTTTGCACAGAAGCTCACAGATATTTTGTTGAGGGTTTAATTTGTTGGAAATATACGCCTGAAGGTTAAGTAGTTAGTTACCTTTATATTGCTATCTTTCACATGTAAGAATTTGTTTATATTACATGACTCAAAGACGATGTCATTAATGTAGCCCACTTTGGGAGGTTCTTTAGTTATTCTGCTGCTCTTGCTCTGTTTTTCAATGGTATTGTATTCAGCATAATAAAATGTTGTTTTTAAACTACAGAATCAAAACTGGAAGCTTTAAATATGATGATAAGGACAGTTATGAGGCTTCAAAGCCTAAAGATGTACTAGAAAGGAAAGATAGCATCAACAGCGACGTGCTTTTAGATGGTAAAGAGGGTTATAATGTTGGAATCCCATTCCTGGTTATGATGGCAATTGCAATGGGCATAGCTGTAACGGCAACACTAATATCCATTTACCAGCAGCCTATTCTTGGATCATCTTTTGTTGTACGGTCTCTTTCTGAAAGTTCATCCTCTTCAGCGGTTGATCCAGCCGCTGCTGGTTTCAGTTTCAAAGTTTTTGGATACAAAATTATACTTCCAGAATATGCACCAGGGTATGCCTAGCTCCCCTAAGTGCAGATTTGCAGTTTGTTTGATGGGACTGTTCTTCAATTGTGATTGACTTGTGGTGATAGATTTTCTATTAATTACTGGTATTTAACATTCTTAGACTTGGAGTCAAGCAGTAATTTCAAGTTAAAAGAACACATAAGAGCTAGCTAGTTTGTAATGCCTTCTCCATTGTCTGGGTACTACTTTTAATTCTCCTTAATAATGAACAGAGGTTTGTAAGGATAATACCTACTCTTCTGCGCTGGAATAGCATTGTGCTATTGCCATCTAATAGCTACATTTCATCTGAACTTCTTGTAGATGGATCTACTTCTGGTTGCTTATGGCTCCAGGCTGTGGACTTTTCATCAGTGAAGAGGTTTTAAATATTTGGGTCTGTCCTTTTCACTGGTACTTCTGTTTCACTGGTCCTTTTCATTCCAATTTTTTTCTTAATGATATACTTTCTTAGTTTCTTTATTTGTTTGAACCCTTTGATTGTACTTGAGCAAATAATTTAGGTTGGCATATCACTCTCTCGGTTTCTGTCTCTGGATGGAACATGGCAGTCTTTTGCAGAATCTTTCTCAAGGAATGGTTCATATGTGATATCAACAGTTTTCTGGGTTTACTGGTAGTTAGCAACTCCATCTTAATCTGTACTTCTTTCCTATGATTATGTTAATTTTGTCAAAGAGCTGGTACTTCTGAAGATTCCAGTCAAATCATGGCATTACGTCTTGTTACAATTCTCCTGTTACCAAAACTTGTTGATCATGGAACTTGAATTTTGATGGGCAACGCTGGATTTCAGGGGGGTGTGCATTAGTGACCTGATACCATTTTACTTGGGGAGGCTTTTCATTCAGTCTGGGGTATCTGATGATGTTTCTTCAAGGGTTCGTTCTGCCTACTTTCTTCTGAGCTCCAATGGGTTAGGTTGAGATCACATTTGGAAAAAAATTCATGTTGCTGTGTTAGTCCAGGCTTAAGCCCTTTTAATCCCACCTTTTGGGTTTTTTTTTTTTTGGGCGGGGGTGGGTTTGATGTATTACTTATTCCTGGTAATTTTCAACTGCTTATCAAATGGTTTTGTTCCTTTTGTACAAGTTTAATTTCTGATGATGTCTATAGCTAGGAATTGGCAAGGAGAAGGCCTTGGGGATTACGAAGGTGGTGCAAAAGTATGGCAATCTAATAGGTTTTGGTAAGCTGAAGACCTTTGTTATCTGCAATGGGGTTTTTTTTTTTTGGCTTAAAACCGTTATGTGTATTAATTATTAAAAATTTGTTGAGACCAAGATATTCCCATATTATGATGTAACAAATAGTTAATTATTGTATTTTACGAAATTATGATGCAAGATATTACAGCCACATGGTTATAACTGTATAAGAACTCCCTTAAATTTCTAACAAGTCATTTGTCACTTCAATTGCACCATCAACAACCCCCCCCCCCCAAAAAAAAAGAAGCTTCCTCCCTGTCCTCTCTCTGGTATGGGGGTAGACCTTAGAGTCCTTGTATGTTATTGCTTAGTTCACACTTTATATGGGCAGTCACAGACCAGTATCGTCTACTCATCCTAATTATTAACTATTCCAATGTTATTCCTTTAATTTTCTCACCAATTTTTTTAGTTATTTACTATCGAATCCTCACAAACATATTTATTATATTAGAAAAATTAATCATTTGATTCCTATAGTTTTGATTCTATTGTAACTCAGTCTCTAAACTTTAACTCGTTGTAACTTAATTCTTGAACTCTCACTCGATTGTAACTTAATCCCTAAACTTTAACTTGCTGTAACTTAGTTTATATAGTTTCAACCATTTAAAATATTAGTTCCTAATTTTAAAAAATAAAATTAGAAAGATTAAATCTTTATAATCTTTATCAAATTACAAGTTTTAGTAATTAAAATTAATGCCTAAAAGTCCACTGAATTTTAACTTTTAGAATTTTATTTTCAAGATATAAAGACTAATATTTTAAATGGTTAAAACTGTAAGGACTAAGTTGTAGCGAGTCAAAATTTAAGAATTGAGTTACAACCAAGTCAAAACTTTAAAGATTGAATTACAACGAGTCAAAGTTTAAGGATTAAGTTACAATTGAATTAAAACTATAGAGATTAAATGATTAGTTTTTCCTATTATTTTTAGTCAAATATATGATTAGTGCCCATGTATTGAGAGATTATGCTTTTATAAATTTCTAAAGAGCATTTTACCTTAAAGAATATCTAAAGGGAGAAGTAAACCCATCCTTTGTGTGGTTTCAGCGGAGTGCTTTCTTTCACATATGGCATTTCAGAAGTTTGAACTGACTCACCTGATCGTCACATAGTTATTTGCTCAGTTTGCATGAACTGAAAACCAACATGTGGAAGTTAGGTGTCCAGAAAAACCCCTAGATAATATACCAAATGGTAGATTGCATCCACATAAGCCACAGTTGGGCAAAATGAACATTTTCCCTTTTCTTTATGTCTATACAATTTCCTATTATAAAATTTACTTAATTCTTTCATTGACCTATGGTATTCATGTGACTTGTATTTTTGCAGTTCAACGATTTTCTCTTGGAGCAAGGAACCCCACTGCTTTTCTAGCGGGTGCTATGGTTAGTGACTTTGTTTAATGCACTTGCAATGATAAATCCAGTTTTACCGTGGTCTGATTTTGATGTATAAAATGAGGCCAAATGAATTGTGCCATGGTAAGTTATGGTTTTGATCTATAAAATTTAAAGAAGTCTTGTATCCTCTGAAATCAACCTCCAAATTATGGATAGTTGAGAACTTCATAATTATGCCTTCCTTTCCCCCTTTAACCATTAGGATCAATGACCCAAAAATCCTCCTTGAGTGAAAGCCTTCGGCAGACCCAATCATCTCACAGATAAATCCTTTAATAAAATGGATATATATTAATACTTGCGGAAAATTTTCCTAATATGCGAAGCCTTGTTGATGATTAGATTCATTTATTGGTTATAGGTTTTGAAAGTTGAGGTCATTGTTTTATCGCTACCATGTGGAAGTCTTGATAATGATTAGCTAGCTTCCGTCCTTTTGTAGATATGATAGGAAGATTCATTCGTTTCTTAAACTGAGAAACTCATAAGCTATAATAAGACAATTTTATCTCTTTTTAGTATCTGTTCACTTATACCTTGAAGAATGCTTTCTTGTCAAATTTGGTGGAAAAAGTCAAGTAATGTACATAAATATTGTTGCTTAAATAATGCATGGATTAAAAAATGGTATGGGAGACTTTTGATGCTATTTTTTCAAATTTGGCATAAGTCAGGTAATGTACGTAGCTGTTTAGGCGTCTTTTTAGGATTGAGCTCCTTGATAGCCCTGATTGTTTTCTAATTCTTTCTTTGAGTATTTGTTCGTTGAATCTCTTTGGCTTCAGTGAATCTATTATTTTAATGTATGCTTTTTTGTAATTATGCTCGCCCATGGTGAGACCGTTTTGTACTTTGCATTCTGCTGGGTCTCTGTCTTGATTGAGAGTTGATATGGATTAAAATAATTTTATTTTCCTTTTTTTTTTTTTGGTTTTTTTCATCTTTTTATTTTGAAGAAAATCCATTTCCAATTACAATTACTAATAAGAGTAACAACAAAAAGCTTTTGGTTAAATGCAGGGTATATCTGCAGAGTTATTTTTTGCTGGAGTCTGCTGTGGTGGTCTATTCACACTTCCCCTTCAGGTGAATATGCTTTTACTAGAAAACATGCAGGACTAATCACAATAGTAACCATCTTGCAATGTAATTCATATCTTTTTAAAGACTCTGACTTGTTGCTTGCATCACTGAGGGTCTTCTCAAAGAAAATTCAAGGGCTCGATAACAAAATCTCGGGAGTTTCTTGCAATCTGAATGCTGAGTCTGGAATAAGCAAAATATGATAATGTTTCTCATCGTATAGTTTATACCCATATTTACAGCTTTACGTAGGTTTTAAAGAAAACAATAGCCACGGAGTAGATAAACAGATAATCCTATGTCCATTTTTATTCCATTGGGTTGTCTTAAATGACACATGATGACTTAAACTGTAATATTTAATTAATTCACTTCTACGAAAAGTCTCTTAAGTGCCATAACTAACATAAGTTTTTCTTTTTCCTGTTTGGTCAGCTTGGAATAGGTTTTCTTTTGAGGGAACGCCCTTTGTTTGCCGTTGCAACTGTGATGGTATGATATGATCGACTTATGAGAATTCGTATAGATCTTAAAATATTCATATTTATCATGTACATTTGTACAGGGAATTTGGACCATTTTTCCATATGCCTTGGCTGGATTAACTGCGTTATTCTTCTATCTCCGAAGGCCTTACTCCACTTAGTCATTGAATTACTTAGGGCAAATCATCTAGTAGAAGATATCGTGGAGCTCAAAAGTTGTACCATTTTTTCAGAGATGACCAAGTTGAAAATGGCAAATTTCATCATAATTTACTATATTTCTATTACATTGATTTTCTTTTTCCTATTTTCTCAGCTCTGAGTGTCTTACTTCTCCTTGAACTCAACAGTAAGTGTTGATGTGAAGATCTATTTCTCTATGTAACGACATAATTTAGCTTGATCTGGAGTATTTTTAACTTCACTGTCACCGAGACTCAAGATATCTGAGCTGAATCTCATATGCTTCTTTTAGTTCAGCTAATACTTCTGCAATAGTTGGTCTCAGTGATGCATCCCTTTCCGCTGACTTCACAGCAATGGAGGCTGTCTTCCTCATGCTCTCCAGATCAAAATTTCCTTTTATGCTTTCATCCACAATTTCATATGCTTCTGCCTGCAAGTAAGGCTTTGCCTGCAGTTGGTTGTTAAGAAATAACAATGTGAATCCCTCAACAGTATACACTAACAGATACAAGGAAGAATTATAAGTAGTAGCAATATTATAACTATTTGTATATTTGAGAACCAAATGCTCAAAGAGAGCTTATTTGATATAAATTTTAAACTAAATAATCACACTTTTACTATATTGGGGGATACACTGTGAAAAAGTTTATCCTTTTCAAGTTTATTCCATAAAGGACAGCTACGAGATGAAGTTTCATGGGCTTTTCCTTATTTTTTTTTTAAATGAATTAAAGCTTTCTTTGACATGGTATTACAATCTCAATGAGTTGGTGGTTAGAAGATTATCTTTCTTGCTCCTATTCTCTCGACTAAAATTATATTCTGCTTATGGTGTAATAAGCCTGTACTTTGTCCATGATTTAAGCTTACAGGGCTTTCATGTGAATGGAAGTGGTCTTTAAAACTATGTCAAGCTATTGCATTGTAGAAAAACAAAAGGAAGATTTGAGTTACCCATAACACCAAATTGAAAGAATCAGGAGACCCAGAGTGATTCAATGGCTCTCTGCCACAGATGAGTTCCAAAAGAACAACACCAAAGCTATATACATCACTTTTCTCAGTGAGCTGTTGGGTGGAATAATACCTGTGCAAAGAAATAAGTTTAAGATGGTATAGAGCTTTCAGGAAATCATTAATTTCTTAATCTCAGGAACATACTCAGGGTCTAGATAGCCAGCAGTGCCCTTGACAACAGTGGTGACATGAGTTGCATCTGCCTTGGTTACTTGCTTGGAGAGACCAAAGTCACAGACCTTTCCGTTCATCTCCATATCCAAGAGGATGTTACTGCACTTGACGTCACGGTGTATGATTCGTGGTTCACTTCCATTATGTAAATAATCCAGTCCTTCCAGAATAGAGAAAGGAAAGAAAAAAACAGCCTTAGACATGTAAGTGTAAGCATAACCTTTCATGATCAAAGAAGAAACAGAAACGTCCATCTTTTGAAGTGTTATTGTCAGAACCGGTCACCACAAAAAATTGGAAATTTGAGAACAGGCCTCAAACCAGCCAAAACCAGTAAAGTCGGCGAGAAACTGGTTGAACCAAACATATTATTATTTTTTATTTTTTATTTTTTAACTCATATTTGTAAATTATGATTTACATATATTTATACCTAATAAGCATTATGAAATGAAAAAAAATGCAAGATACGCATGAATTATGTACACATGTATATATTTAAATTTATAAATTGTAAATTAAGAAATAATTATATATACTTTGGATGAAAATGATGTAATATTGATTGATGTTATTTTTTTTATTGTTTATTATTTTGTCTGAAATTTAAACATTCATTTTTGTTACTATATATAATTATTTCTTTTTACTTTAAGCATATAATATATTTAAAATGTATCAATTTATTTATGACCGGTTGGACCACGGTTTAGATTATGACCCGATCATTGAACTGTGAACTAGCATACCAATCGGTTCAATGGCGGGCCTAGTTTTAATAACATGGCATTGTAGGCAATTTACCACTTCAGGGCCTATTTTTAAGAAACAAAGGTGCTGAAACAGCAACAAAGTTTCCTTTTTCTTTTTGGCTCATGCACGCCAGACATGACTTTGTTGAGGTACTAGAAACCTCACTGGTGAGATTAGAAACCTGTGTTTGTTGTTGTAAAATATCTTTCAAAATTTGATGTCCTCATGTTCGTACCACATCTATCTGAATTGTCACTATTTTCATATCACATGTTCCTTCTAAATGTGTCAGATGCTTACATAGACATTGGATAGGAGAATTTAAGGAGGGTTGCCTCCCTTAGTTTTCCCCAGGGCAATAAGAAACGTTCATTTCTTGACCTACACTAGTTATTTAAGAAACTAGTTTGTACCTTTTGCTGCATCAACTGCTATTTTCAATCTTCGAACCCAGCTTAATGACCTTTTTTGGCTGTTTGTACCTGGAGGAAAAGAAAATAAGTGTTAAAACCCTTACCCTGACAGCATTTGGGAATATTTGAAGCAAAAAGAATAAAGAGGATAGTGCGGAAATTTTTGTTCAATCAAGCAGAGTACCATAAAGGTGATCATTTAGTGATCCACCGGCCAAATACTCGTACACTAGTATCTGATGCTTTGATTCATGACAAAATCCTTCCAATGACACCAGATTTTGATGGCGGATTTTTGACAAAAGGTGAACCTAAGCACAACAGAAGATATGAAAGAAAGAATTAGCTCACCAGAAGGGAAGAAAAATGATAGAATCAGGCTTCCCTGTAACAGATATATCAGAGACACACATAACTGATTCAATATAATGTTTAAGAGGGATATGATTCTTTCTTCGATCAATACCAAAAGGGAAGCCAATGAGACATATATTTGATAAATTATGGTCTTAATTTCAAGGCTCCTTTTGAGCTCCCACTGAAGGGGAAATGGTCCAAGGATCATTCCTTATGTTCCTAAACTGCATGTATTGCTGTCACAGAATGCTTTCACCATTAGAAAGGCAATATGAGTTCAATTGCAAGCGCACTTAAGAACAGTTCTGCAGAGCATGTGACCTGCTAACCTTAAGGGTGCTAGAATGAGCTTCTAGTTCATTACTTCATTAGAGATGACCTTTTGTCTCATTGACAAGTTAACTGAATTATAATGATGTAAAAAGGTTGTTATATGGAAGTGTAATTTAATTAGTGAACCTCATTGATGAAAGAATCAGCTCCTAGTTGGGTTTTGTCCAGCCGAACTTTGACAGCGACTGATTTACCATCTGGAAGCTTTCCATGGTAAACTGATCCAAAACTGCCTCTTCCTATAACTTCTTTAAAGTTTCCAGTAGCTACTTTGATTTCTTTGTAGGAAAACACTTTTGCTGCGCCCCAGTTCCTCATATTAATTTCTACTCCTGAAAGTTAGAATAAACATCTGTATACCAACACATGTAAGAAAAGCTAACCAAATATGCAACAAGAAAGAAAAATAATTGCATACTTGCTGTGTGAGAGATTTCATATCTCTTTTTAGTCATGTGTAGCAGTACCCAAAGAAAGATAAACAAAAACACAAGTGTGGCTCCGCCAACCAAGCTTAGTATGATTGCAAGATGTCTATGCGTTTTGTGCTTCATTCTGGGAATTATTGTAACTTGTGGTGTCTCAATTGAAGGAGCGAATGATGCATCATCGCATATGGCTGCGTAGAATGAAAGACACAAATTCCCAGATGTTCTGCAGGAAGGGAAAAAAAAAAAAAGGTATCAACGTGCATAGTTTTTAAGGAAACAGATCTAATGCTTCCTCCATACCTGATCTCTACGGTTGCTTTGTTCAAGGACTCTGGTAGTGGACCTTGTAGCTTGTTGTTTTCCAGATTCCTGAAGAACATAAAACAATGAATTGTACGAGCAAATGATGATACAGTGAAAAACAAATTGAAAGAAAACAATTGTTATATGATTTAATGAGATGTTTTATCTGATGCCAAACTTACAGAAAATGGAGGTTTTCTAACTCTCCCAAGCTATCAGGAACCAATCCTTGGAGGCTATTGTTTTGCAAGTCCCTAAACACACAGTGAAAAAGAAAAAGAATGTAAGGTTAATGTATCAATTGGTATCCGCCATATCAGTTTTGAGATACAATGTTTGGATAGAAGATAAAATAAAATATATTATTCATAGAACTATTAATCGAGTTTTACTTGGTATAAGATGAAATGTTCTTTTGACATGGTATTTGAACCTTCATAACCCAGAAGTTCACTTAACAATTTAATCTGATAATCATAACATTATGATTAGTGAAGAGTTCAAACTTGTATCTCCTAAGCTAAGCTCTGAAGTGTTTTAAACATTCGGAAGTCTTTAACTTACAAGATTCGAAGGCTAACCAAGTTGTCCAGCTCCACTCCAAAGGATTTTAGCTGATTGAAACTCAGGTTCCTGAAATTTTTGAGCACTCATTAAACATCCTCTGCATAAAACCGAAGACCAAGTTTTACTCTAGGGAGGCATTACAGTTTCTCAAGATGTTGCAAGCTTCCCAAGTTCTGTATTTCACCAGCAAGCGAAGCGTTGTGCAAATCTCTGATAAATAATCAACACCAGAACAGATAAATAAGAAAGAGAGTATGATCACACATATCAACGATGCCAATGGACTTTATTCTAGCTAAGGAGATTTACAATTTTTTGAGGTCCAACAAGTCACCAAATGTAGGCGTAATTGATCTGAAATTCACACCGGAGAGATCCCTGGAAAAAAAACTTGCTACTATGAGATCACTAATGAAATAACTGGAAGAACCACTGTTTTGGAGAAGAAATGAAATGAGGCACATACAATGATGTGACAAGGCTTCCTTCACAGCCAATATGATCCCATGGTGAAGGCGAGCATGGATCATCTTGCCATCCTAGATCCAAGCCAGCAGACTGCTGAATAACTTGTAGTGCGGAGACTGGAATAGTACAAATTGAATAGATCATAAGTTAATTAAATTAACAAGTGAAATCAGAATAATGTGTATTCTCAGAAAATGTGGTGAGGCACCTGTGGTTGAAGAGACTTCGGATGGAATATCAACCATCTGATATACCTCAAATGCATTGATTTGAGGGTAAAAGCTGATACTCTTCAGTGTTATATTCAAGCTGCCGATCCCCTTTCGTGTTACATATAGGGCACTGATTTCTGAACTCTTTATTTTGTAGTTTGATTTTATGAGATCTCCATTTATG